GACGAAACAGATGCCGTTCAAGTATCATTTATTTGTTCCAAATCTAAAGTCGCACCTACCAAGAAACATACTATCCCTCGCTTAGAGCTTTGTGGAGCCGTTCTGCTGACTAAATTAATTCTTTATGTTAAAACGAATTTTTGTAACCAAATTAGCTTTATAAAAATTCGCGCGTGGTGCGATTCTCAAATCGTACTGCATTGGATAAAGGGATGTCCCAATCGCTGGAAAACTTATGTCGCCCACAGGGTATCTTTCATTCAAGAAAATCTCTCTCCTGATAATTGGTCGTATGTGAATACTGCTATTAACCCCGCAGATATAGCCTCGCGAGGGGCTCTTCCTTCCCACTTCTTAACCTATAAATATTGGTTAACCGGTCCTGAATTTCTTTACGAAGATGAAAGTTCTTGGCCTACCTTCCCATCTTCTGCTAATGAGGTTACGCTTCCCAAAGAAGAACAACGTAAAATGATATTATTTTCAACATTACTCAATCATAACAATGAGAGTTTTGTAATTTCTATGCTTGAAAATTATTCTTCTTTGACTACTATTCAAAATATTTTAAGTTTCATCTTGCGCTTTATCTACAATTGTCAACACCCGCTTTCTAAACATTGTGGCATATTTTCCACCGACGAATTGTATTCGGCCCTTCTTGTTTTGGTAAAAACTACTCAATATACTCACTTTCAGGAAGAAATTGAGTCCAAACGTTTTTCTAAACCTCTACGTAAGTTGAATGTTTTTTTAGATGATAACAATATTCTTAGAGTGGGAGGTCGACTGCATAATGCATCTATATCTTATTCATCTAAGCACCCCATATTATTACCTAGACAAAGTCTATTAACTACACTCGTCATTCGCCACATTCATGAAAAGTATTTTCATGCTAGCTTTAGAAGTAATCACTTCTTACTAGCTCAACAGTTTTGGGTTCTATCCTCAAAACGAGCCATTAACTCAGTGATTTCGAAATGTTTACGCTGTTGGAAAACATCTCCTACCTCTTATCAACCCCCAATGGGAAATTTGCCGCTGTCTCGAGTGTCTGAGGTAAAACCTTTCGGTCGCTCCGCTGTTGATTTCGCAGGCCCATTTAATATAACTATTAGTCGTCACAGAGGAGTAAAAAGTTGCAAAGCTTACCTCTGCATTTTTGTCTGCTTGGCTACCAAAGCTGTACATTTGGAACTTGCCAGTGATTTATCTACACCAACATTTTTAGCCGCTCTACAAAGATTTATTGCAAGGCGTGGAAAAGTCTCACAGATATACAGTGATTGTGGCACAAATTTTATGGGTGCAAAACGCGAATTGCTTTCTCTTATGGAACAGGCCAGCGCAAGTGAAACTATTCAATGGTTTCCTAGCCCCGCCGGAGCTCCTCACTTTAATGGTCTAGCCGAAGCTGGCGTTAAAAGTGTTAAAACTCACCTTCGCCGCGTCGTAGGTGATCAAATTCTCACATTTGAGGAATTCTATACAGTTCTGACACTTATAGAATCCATATTAAATTCTAGACCACTAGTTGCCATATCTAATGATGTCGACGATATCAACGCCTTAACGCCCGGTCATTTCTTGACCATGGAACCTTTAACCGCATTTCCCGTTCCCAGTTTCGAACACGTCCCCCTAAATCGCCTTTCTAGGTGGCAATTGTTACAGCGCATCCATCAAGATATTTGGCGTCGCTGGCATAAAGAATATTTGCATACCCTACAGCAGCGAGCCAAATGGTTAGACCCTGCTAACACCCCCAAACTTGGTACTTTAGTTTTGGTTAAAACCGATAATTTACCTCCTAATAAATGGTTGTTAGGCCGTGTTACTCAACTGCATTTTGGTAATGATAACATAGCCAGAGTAGCTACGGTAAAAACACAAAATTTTATTTTAAAACGGCCATTGGTAAAACTGTGTCCACTACCTAATAATTAATTTTTTTTTTTTTATATGCTACCTGTAGTATTTTATAATTGTTTTTTTGGTTTAATTCTATTATTTGAACTTTCCTTTTTTTTGCTTTAATATTTAGTTTTTATTTTGGGGAATTGTCTAATCAGTTTAAAAATGTATTATTTACATTTTTTCGGGGCAGGAAATGTTCCAGAATGAATTAATTCCTATTTTATTATTTAAATATTCGCGCTTTGTCTCAAATCGCTTACTTAAAACTTTGGCCCACACATGCGCTTCGTCTGACTGTAAGACAAGTGAAACGCCGTTGGACGAAGAGTACTACAGAAATTGCCGCGACGAACGCTTTGTGGTGTGTATGTGCCGTTAAATCCGCTATTATAAATCCTGTATAATAAACGTTGTTATATAAATTGTGTAACCGGGCCCGGTCTTGGCTACTGGACTAATACTACCACCTACTTCATCCGACGAACCATATGATGCAGCACAGAAGGTAAGCGCGTTTGAGACACGTTTATCTTATTTTTTTTCGACTGTTACAATCAGCCCCTTTTTTACGTAATATTCCAATCATTCTATTACAGCTTCAATGCAATAAAATTCAAATATATTTAATGATTTTAATTAATCAAGATTGATAAAAAGTACTGTTTAAGGAATCTAAATAAATAATTTCAAAGATGAAAAATTTATAGATTTTTAACTTTTTAATTAAATATAGAATATTCGAATGGCTCGTGCCCATATTTCGAGCTACAACACCTATATTTGACAGTAAACTTCCAATCGTTCCAACTTTTTGCCTATCAGAATTCCTGAATCAATATTTTAATAACACCTTCTTATTATTATTATTATTATTATTATTATTATTCAGTATGTACCTACTTATTAGTTTACTAGTTATGTCAAGTTAGAGAATAAGCAAGGAGAATGGGAGAAATAATTTGCAGGACGGAGACCGAGCTACAAATATCAATCAAAAGACAAGGGCAGTAAGCAAAGTTCAGCGTTTAGTGTCGGCCACCGTACCGCCACTTTTTTGCCACGTTATTGCCACGTTTTCGCCACGTAGCGTAAACGTGATTATATAAGTTCCGAAAATGTGACTGGAACGTGGTTGCCACCAAGAAAGTGTTCCCCATTTTGGTTCCCCAGAGATAACCTCATTGGTTATCTCTGATTAGATAGCCTTTAACAAAAAAAGTCGCCAGATGGCTCTACTTAACTTCTTCCTAGTAAAATCTCGTTAAATTACGGACGGTGAAATATAACTTATTGTAAAAAGTTTTAAAATGTATGAGAGGTTTAGTTATGAATGGCTTAACTGTAAACCGGTGGAATTTGGCCATATAACCATTACCTATAATCTTTTGGAATATTTATCATTGATTTAAAAATCACCTTTCATGTGTACCTAAAGTTTTGGGGTTCTATTTAAAAAGGACGGGGGAGGGTAAAAAATTGCTATTTTCCAAACATATAAAAAGCCACAACGTCCTGCAATATATTACCCGTTGGGTGAAATTAAGCCCACATAATGGAGTAGATACCGCAGTATTTAATTCTCATTTTTACACGTCATGCCTCTAACAATTTTTATAAAATACTTTTTATAAATGTTATAATTCATGATCAACATAATTTTGCCATAATTTCGATTTCGTAATGTTCGTTGTATGTATATTTTGAGTTATAAGTTACATTGTACTTAAATTTGTGGGAATTAAGTCTGTTACAGCAATAAAATAATGCTAGTAGGGTACTTAGCATATACCCAAATAGTTCGAACAATGATTTAATCGTTGGGTTTACAATAAAAATGTTCTCGGTAATTGTGTTTAATCTTTACTTTAAACATCTACCTATGATTATTGAGAACAAAGCGTGGAATATAATTGAAAGATCAAACGAACTTACCTGAAGTAAAGTTCTCAATTATATGAAACGCCTTGTTCGAGATGATCGAACCCACCCACTCACCTTGGGGGATCATCTCTACAAGATTAAAACACAATTACCACTTTAAAAGAATGACGTAAGAGTGTAGCTGAGTAGCACGGGACGGGAGCAGAGGTGGGAATGACTGGCACGACCAGTTGTTATTTTGGAACTTTCTAAATACTTTTGAGGGTATTTGGACTTTAAAATACGTGGCCACAGAGCAGGGAAAGGGGGGTACTACCTATGATCATCTCGAACATGGCGTTTTATATAATTGAGATCGATCTTCACTTCAGGTAAGTTCGTTCTTTCAATTTAAGATATGTTTTTTAACCATTTTCGTCAAGGCAGGGTGATCCTTACAAATATCATGTGTCACCTAACACCTGACAGGTGCAAGTTATGAAGATTATGCAGTCCCAGAAGTAATGTAATAAAATTAGAGTTGTGCTTGACCTTTTGTTTTGAAATTTCTTACAAAAAGAGGAAACAAATAATTCGAGAACTTGCTGTGATTTTAAATATTTAGTATAATATTTAGGTACTTAGTACATTTTCTTACTTTTTAAGATATTTACAGACATAATTATTAACTAAATCGTAACATTAAAGTCAAACCCTGCGCCTTCTTGCAAGACTGGACTGAATCCTTTGTTTAGCCGAAATTGTAAAGAAAGAAACAAATATCTTTGAAAAAACTATACACGGCTTTCTAAATCGTGTCTAATACAGTTTGACCATGTATATTTAAAACCATTTTAAATGCGCGTACCTCAAAAAGTATTTGATATATTTATGAATGTCCGGTTTTCACTGAACACCTTCAAAATTCACTAATTAAGTTGTTTAACATAATATGTCATTTTTGTACTGCGACTTCCGCTCGCAACCTCTTTACTCAACTGCAGCTTATACAGACCAACGTCGTAATCACGATTCAGCGTAAAGTCAAGCAAAGTGACGGGCGGTGAAAAATGTTTTACAGTTTCTGAATAAGCGCAGTAGTAAATTTCATGTCAATTCTCCATTATCCTGTATTCTTCATTTCTCCATACTTCCCCAATATGTGTAAAGAAAGTGCAGACCACAGAACACAACATTTTTTATTGCCTTGCATATTGTAGGTAGCAATGCAAAGGTACACTGAGAATAGAATCGTGCAAACTGCAAGGAGCAGAACCCAAGTTATTGGCAAACCTAATTTGCTGGTTACAATGCCTGGATATCTGGATGACCAGACCTATGGGGCTTTAGGTTGTAAACTAGTAACTTTCTTCCCGACTAACAGCGATCTTCCAAAACCTTTGCCATCTGTACTGGCTAGTATTATGCTGTTCGATGAAAATACAGGACTACCAAAAGCGGTAAGTTTTATCAAAAATAATTTCTGTTTTATTTTGCATTTTTATCAGGATTTTTAAATATTTCTTTTTTAGTGTGTAGGAGGGTTCGAAATTACAAAGTGGAGGACTTCAGCAGCGTCTGCGGTAGCAACCAGACATATTTACGAAAAACGTTTTAAACCCCTAAATATATTAGCATTATTGGGAGCTGGACATCAGGGACGTACTCACGCTGATTGCTTTAAACACTTTTTTAATTTTCAAGAGGTATGTAACATCAATACTGTAACGTTTATTTATTTTAAGTACTTTGTTATTCTAATTTATTTACACAATACAATTAATTAATTTATATATGATCAAATAATAATTTATATATCAACACTATTAATTTATATAGACAACTTAAGTTTACAAAACAAATTCTTTCTAACTCCAAATGGCAAAATTCGTCTATTTATCTATAAATGATGCGCACCGCACTGGTTTTGGAAGTAACCAGAAGGTCTAGAACGCGATAGTATTGTCATCGTTACTGCTTCGGGTAAATTCTAAATGGTTGCGGACAACGAGAAACTTTACGTAAGCTGATTTCCAGACGAACTGGCGACAACCAGGCAGAACCGGACTGGTTGAAAACGGCTTGTACGATAATAAAAATGTATCAATAAGGTCAAAGCAAAATCAATTTATTTGCGACTATTAAATAAAACATCTATTCTTATTAGTTAATTACGATATAGGTACCTACAATATTAACACGTTAACTGCCATGTATACCATTTCTGGATACAGCTTATTTTAACTGTGCGCCATATTTACCTTACGAGGATACATGCATTATAAGTTTCTCGGCTGTTGTACATACGACGCACATAGGGATATTTGAACGATTTAAGCAGCCAAATTAATTTTTTGGTCTATATCGATTCTAAACGATATTAATAAATAAAACAAAGGTTTTAATGTTTAATTAACCTATATTCATTAATAAAAAATATAGATATACAATTTTATCTAACATTATTCGTATAAATTTTCATCTTCGCTTTCTGAAGAATTACCTACTTCAAGCGGCTTTGCAGACATTAGTAAATTAATTGTTTCTGGCAAAAAGACTTAATTTTTCTTCTTCTAGCGTTCCTCATGCTACTTAAGAGGGGTCTGAACTTAGAAGCAGGCGATTAAAAATATCTTTGTTACAATTTACTCTAGAGAATTTTTGCGCGAAGTCTTGGCGGTATGAGTGGAAATGCTTGTTACGTGCTTCCGCGACTTCTTCAGACAGCTGCCCAATAGGATACAATGCAGTTTTTATTATAACTGCACCATAAATAAGCATGTTGTGCATCGTTGGTGTCATTGGGTGCCATGCACTTATAAGCGAGCAAGCATCTAATGCGTATTTGTCATATTTTTCCGGATCAATTATATGTCCGCTCGAAATCGTTTCTAGTATAATCTTTAATTTATAAATTAGGTTATAACTAATGCCCGTTATTTCGGAAGCGGGTCTTCAAAAAATCCTCGGCTCGTGTTTCCATCATTTGTGTTGCCAAAATTTCCCTTTGGTATATCCACCAACAAACCAGTTTCATTGCGAAATCTTTTCTGGATTTCCAGTTTTCTTTCAATTTCAATATTTTTTTTCCCGTTTGTGTTTTTCTTTCTCTGTATTTTTGCACAGGCAATTTATAAGCCAAGTGGAGAATGCTTTCAAAAATACGAATCCTTGCATGTAGAACTAAAAGCCCAAACTCTATAGCTTCATGATTAATCTGATTTTTAACACATATGTAACAGCTGCTTGTGGATTTTGTACCAGTGGCAGCATTACAAACCTTTCCGTCGACCATTGTCATAATGAACACATGTTTAACCAAAAATTGTGTTCCATTTAAGTCAGCTGTACTCAACCTTTTGTTCCTTCGGGCCACATAAATCTGTTTGTTATGCTACACAAGCCATAATATTTTTGGGTGATAACTAGAGTTGCCACTTTTTTGAAACGTAAATAAAGCACCAAAACAAAAAAAAGGTCCTTATATTGGTTTAGTTTACATATTTTCTAAAAAAAAAGTTCTCGTGTTGTAATAAGCTTTAGGACAATTTGTTTCAAAAAAGGACTATAGGTCATGCCTAATAATAGTGTTTGGTGCTGCATAAAAAAACTTGAAGGGCCACACAAAACAGCTTAGAGGGCGGCACAAAACAGCTTGGAGGGCCGCACAAAACAGCTTGGAGGGCCGTGTAAAACAGCATGTGGCCCGCGGACCGCAGGTAGAGTATGGCTGATTTAAGTGAACCTCTGTTGCGTTTAGCGACTTAGCAGATTTTTTCACAAAAGTTATTTCTTCTTTCGTTATGTCAGTAGTCTCTTTAACTAATCGGAATCTTATAGGTCTACAATACCGTGGAGAAGAGGGTATTGGGTTTGCCCATACAATTTTTTCATCTTTACCACAAACCAATCGTAGTGGAACGAAACAGCTCTGAAATATGTTCGCATCATTTTCAATTTTTTTTTTAAACTGAGATTACTGAGATCAATCGCAATCCCATTTACAAATTATCTTCAGGTTATCTCGTTCTTGTTCTTTCAATGATATCAAGACTTCTTCCAGGAATATTAACAAGCGCATAACTGTAATTTCAACTAAAGGTTGTGAATCGCTCTCCGCACAGGTACTAGTTACTCTACATGATTCTGCGGGTGGATAGCATTCTTGTTTTATCTTTTGTAAAAGTCTATAACAAGGGAAGAATTTTTTATTAGTATTTATAATTATTTCATATTGCTGACGAGTTAAATCAGCTTCTACGAACATTGCTAATGCTTGTAAAGGAGTAAGAGAGCAAGTTTCTTGACTTTTTGATTTAAAAAATGCTTCTTTATATTTAGTTGCACGTGTTAAATAACTGGTGAGATCTTTTAGTACATCGGAAGCATCTTGTTTTCCAGATTTTCGCAATTCTACTTAAGCAGCATGTATGATTACTTCTTTATCTGAAGTAGATCGAATCTCCTCATTTTTCCTTTTTTTATTTCGATTACTTGACTCTCCAAATGACTTACGTGGCGGGCCTGGCCGATTTTGTGTAACCACGGGAAGCTCAAAAGTTTCGTTTAGCAATGCATCATTGTATTTATAAAATACGTCTTCCTTTCTGTGTGGCTTTAACCACCTTTCTTTCACTTGAGACTTAAAGGGTACGTAACTGCGTTTCAAACACTCAATTTGGTCTTCGGTGTAACCTTCGCACGACAAAAGTTGTTCTTTTAAGAAATCTAGTTTTTCTTCCAACTAGGCAGATCTAGATTCTGCATGCGACAAAACAAATATTTACGGGTCACAATTCTTACACCCGAGGTACTTTGTGAACCTAAACAATTATAAATTCTTTAAAAATGTATTTAACATCAATCATAATTTTTAGATTATTGTTTGTTACTTTATTAAAATCCATAATCCTAACTAGTAGAAAAAACAAAAACTAACAATAGGGGTCAAAGCAATTAATGGGATTAAATTACTGCGAGTAAGAATGCGTTACCATTACTGGAATTATATCACATAATACTAAGAACCACTTAAAATGTGCTCTAACTAGTCCCCTAACCCAGGTAGTCGTTTTTATTTAAAAATTTTGCATTTTGTAAAATGGACTTTTTACTCCGTAGATAATTTAAATACCCCTATGTGTGATGGCGGTACTTAGCGTTGATTTAAATGAATGTATCGTTCGGTCAGGCGTGGGAGTGTACTATATAGTAATGGCCCCTCGTTTTTTTTTTAATTTATTTTGTAATACAATAAAAAATAAAGATTGTAGAAAAAATGTTCATTTTTACTTGTTTATAAGTACATAGGTCAACTTAAACAATGGAAAAAATATAATAAACCACTAATGTATCACTTTGTAAAAAAAAAACTTGCGTGGCCCACAGGATCCAGTAATTTTTTTTCCATAAATGTCTTGGTAGTTAACGTGTTAACTCATTGAATTACATAAGCTTCTAGAGTTTTATATGTAATTTTTAAAGACATAAAATATAAACTATTCTGGTAATTTTGTAATTTCATGACTATGCATTTTTTATTATTAAATAAGGGTTATTATGATACAATTTTTGATTGTGAACCAATACCATTTTATTTGCCTATTTTGTGTGATCTTATATTTCCCTATACTTTTTAGATTAGAGTTTGGAATCGAACGGCTTCAAAAGCAAAAGAAATGGTTGAAGAATTCAATAAGAAATATAACACAAATATTTTTAAATTCTATGAAAGTAACGAGAAATGTGTAAGAGGAGCAGATGTCATAGTAACTACAACTAATACCAGTGAACCGATTGTTAATCGTGATTGGGTTAAGCCGGGAGCACATATCAATTGTAAGAAATATTTTTTTTTCTACGATCACTATCTAATAGGCTTTTGCGCTTCAAAATCCAACCAATCAAAGTATGTGATCCAACCGCAAAGTTGACGTTTTCCGCAATCTGACATTAGGTGACAACTTTGTTGCTCACCTATACCAATTTTTGGCGAACTCCCGGTGATCAAACGGTACTACCCGCATCATTTTCGCGACGTGAACCGCTCAAGGGGAAGTGTAATGACGTCATTTACTGACGTCATTGTTTGCTACCGTCGTGATGAATCTGTTCCCTGCTTCTTGAGGTGGTGAACAAACAGTTGATAGTGACAGTTGACGTTCATAGCATTCTATAATACCATTTTGTTTTGGAATTTTTGGTAGCTGCCAGAGTTGCGTTTTATTTTGTGCGTTCCTATTTTTATTTTATGTATAATAGTTTTCGTTGAAGTGTCTCTAAATTCTATTTAAATTTGTTATTTAAAAAAAAAATGTCTATCTTCCTCAATTTTATATTTTTCATAGTTTGTTTATTGTTAAATACCTTTTAAATGCACATAACATAACCTCTTTTATCTAAAACGTTGACGATTGACGTAAACCGGTTCATTTTTGCGAAGAATTTATTAGAAACCGAGACATGATAGTGGGGGCATTTGACATGTCACTGTTTCTGTGTCACTGTTTATCAACGGGACTAACGGGAGCACGCCAAAAAATGCTTCTCTAATTAGGCATTCCAACGACCTTTCCAAATGGCTACCAGTGGGTAATGACAGTTTAGATATGGCAACCCTCCCAGCAAACACAAACATGTAACATATATGTATCATTTACATGTACTAGTTCCGTGTTACATAACAAAGTAACTTACATGTTACATAATAACTCACGTGATTAAGGTCTATGCCCACTATACCGTACCATACTATGACCGTGCCCGGACCTGATTTTTTTTTTTGTATAGATTCAAATGAGGATGGTGTGGTCGATGCTGGGCCGGTCTAGTGGGCATTGTCTCATTTAAGTCTGTTCAAAGAATATTTTTCTGCCTATGCCGGTACGGTCACGGTCATAGTATGATCCGGTGTAGTGGGCATAGACCTTTACTGTGAAAAATGACCTAATTTTGTTATATAGCAGGTTCCTTAAATGTGATGTAAGGAACAGTGTTATATATCGGAAGACATGTAACATTTATATTACCATTGTAACATTTAATATGCTTCATTATTACAGCACATATACATTACTTTTTTCATATAACATTAGTAATATAAATGTTATATAAATGAAGGTATGTAAATGTGTCGTCTAAAATTGTACGTATTAGTTATACAGTATGTTTACTTAAGTTGGAACCATATGGAAAACTTTTGTATTATTGGTTTTGTGAAAAAAATGTATTTTTGATAAAAAGTTCTGTACGGTTCAAAACTTAAAATGCAACCATCAGATATAAATTTTTTTAAGCCGTATACGAGGTTTGTCTACAAATATGAATTTTACTCAAGAGTAAAGTACCTTTATTTTTTACAATACAGAAGAATATTATAAAGTAAGGTTATTTTGAAATAAAAGTTATTTTTAAATTTGCAATTAGAGCAATTAGCATAAAAATTCAGGTTAGGTGATTATTTACGTTTTACATTATACATTATTTGTAGTTATAAATTAATTAACCACCGAACCTGAATTTTAATGCTAAATGGCTGTAATTGCATATTTAAATATAACTTTTAATTTAAAATAACTTTACTTTATAACACTCTTTTGCATTGTAAAACATATAAAGGTACTTTACTCTTGAGTAAAATTCATATTTTTTGGCGAACCTCGTATGCAGCCCAAAAAAATGATAACTGATGGTTGCATTTTAAGTTTTGGACCATGCAGGACTTTTTATCTAGAATACATTTTTTCACATAACCAATAATAAAAATGTTTTCCATATGGTTCTAACTTAGGTAGACATGTTGTATGACAAATACAAAATACGTCGAAAATATTTGGAGGAATAAAAAAAAGTAATTTAAACGTATTTGTTAGATATATCAATAATTTTATTGGACAAATTCATAACCGAAACCAAAAATATATTATAGAAAAATTTCACACAAATATAATAACCCAAATTCATCATAAAAATCACAAAATATCTGCTATTAACGACGATCCACGGCCTCGAAATTCAGGGCCCCATCAAGCATGACCTGAAAAGAGAACAAAAATTAATATTTACACCTCAAATGTATCAACGAAATACAGTACACACATATAATAACTCAATATCATTATAAAAACACAACATACCTGCTATTTTCCACAATAAATCCAAAAATGTCACAGATACCTCCATAAAACGCCTATAGCCGCCATTCAACATTGAAACACTACTAAAAATAATGCACCAGATATTCCTACTTACCTACCTAAAAAACATGTGTATTTCAAGGACCGTTTGGTCAACAGCATTTTTGTATATATACGCTATGTAACATTTTGAATGAAATAATTTAGTACAAATTGTTACTTTAATGTAGATTACACATAGATATATAAATTGATATAATCTTTATGTGATTAAATTTATATAACGGATATGTAATTTTGTAACATATATTTTAATTATATACATGGTATATAACTATGGTGCTAAGTTTGAACTTAGGTGTTCAGTTCCATAAATAACACATAAAAGTGCATACAGGACAGTCTAAGTATATTTTATCCTTTTTAGTTATGTAATAGGGTTTCCGATCTCGATACGATCTTATCGAGAATCGATCTTTTGTTTCACGATTTCGATTTTTTAGGATCGATTTTTCAAAATAGAGATCGATCTATATATCGATGGAAAGTACTGAGATCGGAGATCGATTCTAGCCCACCTCTTACATGTACTTTTCGAGTATTTTGTGGTTACCATGAACGTCAAAAGAATAAATTCACTGATCGTTATCGCCGTTTTGAGTAATGTGAGAGTGTTTTGTGGATATTTGAGTACTCTCGTAAAGCGTAAATGTTACCTGAATAAACCTCTTTCGAATCTGAAGACAACAGATCTTATTAAATATTGGCATAGTCAAATTCTTTTCAACAATTTAAACAAAGTTGCTCAAAAGTCTTTATGTGTGTTAGGAACATCAATTCCATCCGAGAGACTATTTTTTCGAACAGGAAATCTGATTACTCCTGATAGAAAAAGTGGAAAAATGTCAAATAAACTCGTATTTTTGAATAGTTTTAAATCTTAGAATTTGAATATTAACAATTTTAAGTTCCAAACAATGTTTATATTTAAAATAAAGATTAAATTTTTTGTCTATTTTTTATTAATTAAATTTAATTTTATATTTTACATAAAAAGAATCGATCTTCGATCTTTACGAGATCGATATTTTTTCCTCCCGATTTTTCTTGTATCGATCTTTGGCTCCACCATTTGGATCGATACTAAGAATCGATCTTTCTTGCCGAGATCGGAAACCCTATTATGTAACAGGAGGGAACATGTAACAGAATGGTTTGCTGGGCCTGTTGTTATGTTGTCATTAACAGGGTCAATGAGTATAGTATAGTTATATAGATTGCTCAAAGCTGGTCGTTTACGAGCGGCCATATTGCCTGGCAAATATTTATTAATTTGAATCGGTTTAGCAAAAATGTGTTTTAAAACCAATTTTTAGCCTTTAGATATTTAAAAAAAAATAATTGCTTACATTTTTACTTCAAGGCATAAGCTTATGTTTATTTTGAAAAATATGGATGATCAATCTATGTAACTATCTATTTCATTGACCTTGTCAAATCACCAGGCCTACAGGGTTGCCATAATTTTGCCATATCATAACCCGTCAGAACCCACTGGTAGCCATTCAGTTTGGAATGCCTAATTAGGCATTTCAACGACCTGTCCAAATGGCTACCAGTGGGGACTTGACAGTTTAGATATGACATCCCTGTTGTCATTAACAAGGTCAATGATGTTATAATGGATATGAAGTTACGAGAAATCAAGAAAATCACTAACATAATATATTAAACTTAAAGCTATAAATTATACATCAAAATTTCTGACTACCCCTCGTATAGCGATAATTTTGATTATGTCAAAAAGAACCAGATTTAGTGAGACAGTTCTACCACATGTAAATTACGGACATTAGAAAAACAAATTTACAAAAAAAACTACAACACGAATTTTAAAATGACCTATTAATGAAACAAATATAAATCACCATCAAAATTCTATAATAAATCGTTTGAATAAAATCATTAATACAATTTTACAAATTGAATTTCTAAAAAGTTACTAAACTGTCAAAATTTTGATTGGACAAATCTATTTTCATGCGCCTAGATTCAAATATTTAAAATTGGGGTTGTTGATAAAACAAAAAGGGGAGTGGCCGTACAACTAAAAATGGAGAGGCTGTAATAATTTTTTCTCCACAAATTTTATAAAAAAAATTAAGTATTTTATAATCAAGGAAGAAAGAGAAACAGAAAAATTAAAGATCTATACCTGTGTGAGGTAGTTTGTAAGGTATCGAAAGCTTTAGTGTAATATAGTATGTGTACTTACCTGCCAATTGAACATTTAATCCCGTACCTAGAGAATCTATCCTAGAAAATGCCGACAAATGGTTTGTGAGACGCTTTGTATGAACTTCTGCATATTTTGCTGACGACTACTCTGTGCCCTGTGGTTTTATGTCTACATAAAGACATATCTATACTGCTGGAAGATATATGTGTTAACGACGGGACATTTCTAACATAAGGAAATATAAGGTATTTTATTACGAATAAATACTAATGCATGAACACTGTCAGAATAAACCACAAAATAAACACTGGTAAATTCGTTAACTATAAATAAAAAAGTAATCGTGGCGCCACCTCCAAAACAGTAGGTGAAGCGCATACCTATTGAGGGTATATTTATTCTGTACAACATATTTTATATAATTCTTTCTTAATTTGTGTATAGGTGGCTTCATGAATGATTGG